TCTGAATGCTACTCATAGAATACTACTACTAACCCTATAAGTCTAATACTAACTCGCTGGGCAGCCATGGCTGCATCTCTTTCCAGCGCAGCCTGCTTCCTTCCTCCAGCGCATCTTCATCCTCCAGCCCTGCTCCTCCTGGCTGGCGCACAAGTGCTTCAGCACTTCCACACGCAGAATGCCAGTGGAGATCTGCGTTGAATGAGGCTCTCCCTTGTTATAAATGGCAGCCCTCTACCAACTGAGCTGGGCTACAAGCTCGGTTGGTACACCCCCCCAGACCTGAATTGTTGAAAATACAGACCAGGTGCTGAGTTCGAACTCCACTGGAAGCAGATGAGTGAAAAAAAATTACTACAATAATTCTGAATTATCTAAGGCCGGTCAGTTCGATGATGACATCTCAAGGCCGTCGCGACAGTCTTTCAAAACAAACAAGGGGGAAAAAAAAAAGCAGACTTTTTTAACACAAGCAATTTTTCACATCCTCATACTCTGGTCACCAAGAGCCAGCGAAGAACACTCGCCTCGGAGTTCCATTGCTGGGTTGGGACTGCCCAGGTCAGGCTGAAGATGACTTTGTCACTTTGATCCTACTACTGCAGGGCAGTCCTGCCAGTGGATCTTCGCATATGTAGGCAAGGTGAAAGGTGTACCCTTCTTTCTCAGGTTAGAAACGGAAGACCCTTTTGACTGCACGCCAATTTTCACGTCATCGTCATACTCTTGGTCACCAACAAGAGCCTGCGAAGAAAATTGGGCTCCCGCGTTTCACTCCCGGGTTGGGACTTTCTCTTTGGACTGATCAGATTTTCTTGGTTGGGACTTTACTCTTTGGAACTTGTGTTCGTTGGGACTTTCTCTTTCATCCTTTCCAGGTTGGGAATTTACTATTGTACAATTGTATCGTACAAGAAGTTCATCCATCTTAAACCACCAGCTTTCACACGAGCCTGAGTTGACGACGAAGCTACCTTCCAAGGTTGGTGAGCCTGCAAGTGGCACTGCGCCTTTTTTGAAGTGGCCTTACATTGGACCAGGTTCGTATGACCTTAAAAGTTAAAACGACCAGTTTGATTACATTGGCGGATAAACTAATTAACTTCTTACAACTTGAAGACGGGATGAAAGAAATAACCAAAAAAAAAAGAAAGATTGAGAAAAAAAGGATGGCTTGAGGTTGGGGTTGGGTGGTGGAGGAGATCGGGTGCACATCGGGATTGGGAGGAGATCAGGTGCAGATTGGGATAATTGGAAGGTTATTTCTTTCATCCCTTCTTGTAAGAAGTTTATTACTTTATCCTCATCGATCATTGGAGGATAAACTAATAAACTTCTTCAAAGAAGGGATGACAGAAAGAACACCCCCCCCCCCCC